GATTATAGGCACCTGCCACCACACCTGGCTAATTTTTTTTTTTTTGAGATTAAGTTTTGCTCTTGTTGTCTAGGTCGGAGTGCAATGGCGCGATCTCAGCTCATTGCAACCTCCTCCTCCTAGGTTCAAGCAATTCTCTTGCCTCAGCCTCCCCAGCAGCTGGGATTACAGGCGCGTGCGCCACCATGCCCAGCTAATTTTTGTATTTTTAGTAGAGACGGGGTTTTACCATGTTGGCCAGGCTAGTCTTGAACTCCTGACCTCAAGTGACCCGCCCACCTCGGCCTCCCAAACTGCTGGAATTATAGGGGTGAGCCACCAAGCCCGGCTGCTCTTTGTGGTTTTTTAAACTAAATCATTTATGTAGTAAAATGATTCCATATCAATACATAAATGCTTTCTTCATTCTATTTGTTTATTTATTTATTTATTTATTTATTTTTTGAGATGGAGTCTTGCTCTGTTGCCCAGGCTGGAGTGCAGTGGCGCAATTTCAGTTCACTACAACCCCCCGCCTCCTGTGTTCAAGCAATTCTCCTGCCTCAGCCTCCTGAGCAGTTGGGATTACAGGTGCGCACCACCATACCTGGCCAATTTTTGTACTTGTTAGTAGAGACAGGGTTTCACCATGTTGGCCAGGGTGGTCTCAAACTACTGACCTCAGATGATCCACCTGGTTTGGCCTCCCAGAGTGCTGGGATTACAGTTCTGAGCCACTGTGCCCGGCCCATTTTCTTCATTCTGTTTAATGGCTACAGGGCATTCAATCATAGAATGCCCTATTTTTTTTTTTTTTTTTGAGATTTAGCTTGTGCTAAATCATTTTTTTAAACTGTAGCTCTGAGGCATTTTATTATAAAAAGTTAATACTCATATACATAAACTAATATGAACTTAAAATTCAGGATACATTTACTTCATTTTTTAGCTTGACCTTCTAGTAGATCTTTAGCTTCAATGATTTTGGTTGCTACATAAGGAGCTCCTCCTTTGTCAGGATGATTTAAAAGCATAATTCGTCGATGAGCATTTCTTATTTTCCCTTTATTGGCAGTAGGGCTTACACCTAGTATTAATGCTGCTTCCCATTTTGTCATTCTGGGTTCAAACCCACCTCTGTAACAGCCACCACTAAAGGCAGATTTTGGTAGACTTTGAAAAAGTTGCTTTACTTGAGGCTCCATATGCTTCATGGCTTGCAAAACATAACGGCCTGCAAATCCTGCAGCTGCAATGGTCAGTCCAACTGCTACCATTATACTGGCCATGGCTGCTGCAGCCGGGTTCCCTTGCTTCCACCGGGAGCCCAGCTCATCCCACTGCAGAGATCGCAGCCAACACCCGCACGCCTGGACCACAGAGCGACGCACCCGTGACCGAACACACGTACTAACCACAGAGCACGGGCACCCTACACCTGTCCCGTTTTTTTTTTTAAGTCATTCCCCGAGTGAAAAACATTTAAGTTACTTCAAGAATTTTGCTGTTATAAACAATAATGCAACAAATAGCCTTCGCCATACATCATTTTCCACACATGTGAGTATACATATAGGATAATGCTTACGAAAGACTTAATGGTCAGGGCTGAGCAGAGTAGCTCATGACTGTAATCCCAGCACTTTGGGAGGCCAAAGCGGGTGGCTAACCTGAGGTCAGACATTAGAGACCAGCCTAACCAAAATAGTGAAACCCCATCTCTACTAAAAATATAAAAATAAGCTGGGTGTGGAGGTGTGCACCTGTAATCCCAGCTACTCAGGAAGCTGAGGAGACATGCTTGAACCCAGGAGATGGAGGTTGCAGTGAGTGAGGATCTCGTGCCACTGCACTCTAGCCTGGGCAACAGAGCAAGACTCTGTCTCAAAAAAAATAAAAAAGAATTAATGGTCAGGAGTAGTGCTGCATGCCTAGAGTCCCATCTACTGAGGAGGCTGTGATGGGAGGATCGCTTGAGCCCAGCACTTCCAGGTTATAGTGAGCTATGATCATGCCACTGCACTCCAGCCTGAATGACACAAGACCCGGTCCCTACTAAAAAACAACACCACCTCTACAGAATTAAAGAAACCACTGAGTCAAAGACAATGAATTCTTCATAAGTTATAAGTGAAATGATGTTTGATATTTGGAAAAAATCACAGACAACTATAAAGGAATATATAATACACGGCTAGCTTAGGCTTTGAAAATGATGAAGATTGCGTCCGGGTGCTGTGGCTCATGCCTGTAATCCTGGCACTTTGGGAGGCCGAGGTGGGTGGATCACCTGAGGTCAGGAGTTCAAGACCAGGTTGGCCATCACGGTGAAACCCCACTTTAAAAAAAAAAAAAGAAAGAAAATGATGAAGATAGGCAATTAAAAGGTAGAAAAGCATGAGTACTGGACCATTATGTATAGATTATGGAGATATTAGCCAATATTTATAAGCAGAATGAAGATCTAAAGCCCAGAAGCTCCTCAGTTAGAAAAAATCATAATATCCTGGGTGCAGTGGCATGTGTCTGTAAAATTATTCAAGATGGTAAAACCTCATCTTTACTAAAAATACAAAAATTAGCCAGGTGTGGTGGTGCGCGCCTGTAATCCCAGCTACTCAGGAGGCTGAGGCAGGAGAATCACTTGAACCCAGGAGGCAGAGGTTGCAGTGAGCTGACATCACGCCACTGCACTCCAGCCTGGGTGAAAGAGCGAGACTACGTCTCAAAAATAATAATTATTATTATTATACATATATCTGCACAGACACGTTTTAGTTAACAAATTACATTTTTGTTCAGTTAACATAATGGCAGCAATTTGTAATGGTTTATAAAGCTAGAAGAAAACACTGATTTTAATAGCATCTAGATACAACACCACCCATAGTCCCAGCTACTCAGAAGGCTGAGGTTGGAGGATCGTTTGAGCCCAGGAGTTCTAGGCTAGCCTGGGCAACATAGCAAGTCCCCATCCCTAAAAAAATAAAATAAAAATAAACACAAGACCTATACTAAATCAAGAATAAACAATTTTAAGTGGTCATTCTTCAACTATTTAATGAAATATGATGGCTTAAAACAGCTATTGTGTAACTATGTACAAGTAACTTGCCAGATGTAGTAGCAGACTAGCTACAAAAAAAAGCATCTCCTATTTCAAATGGCAGGTCATCAAGTTATTTAATTCCTATAAAAACTATCAATAGGCCTGGCGCGGTGGCTCACGCCTGTAATCCCAGCACTTTGGGAGGCCGAGGCGGGTGGATCACGAGGTCAAGAGATCGAGACCATCCTGGTCAACATGGTGAAACCCC